GTGTTAGTGGAGGAGTTAATGGCGGAGCTGGAGGATTCCAGACTGGCTCGGGGGATAGACCAGCAGGCCTTTACACCACTCCCTAGGGAAAACGTTTCCTTTATCATATTTTATCTCTTTATTTATTTTTTTCGTTAACCTTATAAATTGCTGTTTTTTTGACTCGCCGAAATATAATGAACCATGTACAAGTAACCTGTTTCATTTTCTGAATGGAAGTCCTGTAGGTAGGCAAAAACATTTATGCGTAAACGGACACACACGTATACTAACTTATAAACACTATAGACACCAACATCCATACCAACCATACCAACACTATAAATACGCCGTAATCACCAATATTCAATCTTAAAGAAATATATATCGATTGCCTAATTACCTGGAATGTTGTTCTATTCATGGGACATTATCGCCGGGCTACACAATTTCTGAGACAAGGACCGCCCACAACAGCTGCCGGGCTACTAAAATGATGCTTTCATCATGGCGGCAGGAGGGACTGTTGTTAATCCCGCCACCACGGTAAGCACCGAGTGCCAGATAACAAAATGAGACAGCCATAAATAAGGATAAGGATAAGTCCGATTTGCGAAGCTGAGCCTCGCCCGGGCTATGAGGGAATCCCGGCCTGTGCCGACTAATGTCGACTCGCTAACAGTGTGTCAGCTGGTGCTGACTCGGGTGAGCTTAGTCCTTACCCACCGTGGTGCCCAGCCACAGCAGTAATCTCCAGGCGACAATTGCAACTTCTCGCGCCTGTGCGGGCCGCGAACCGCCGACCCCTCGGATGAGAGGCCGACACGTTACCACTGTACTAGCCCGGAGGCTCATAATAAGCTAAGGATAAGTCCGATATGCGAAGCTGAGCCTCACCCGGGCTATGGGGGAGCCCGGCATCATAAATAGCTGACACAGACCGGCATATATATGGAAGGCCAGGGCGAAACTAGATCTTCGCAAATCTCAATTGTATTGTGTTGGCCCTAAATCCGAGAGGTCGATGATTAGCGCCCCGCCCAGGCGCGAGAAGTTGCAATCGTCGCCTAGAGGCACTGCTGTAGCTGGGCACTACGGCGGGTAAGGACTAAGCTCAGTCGAATCTGCACCAGCTGGCACACGTGAGCGAGTCGGCATTAGTCGACACAGGCCGGATCCCCTCATGGGTGTAGCCTGGGCGAGGCTCAGCTTCGCATATCGGACTTACCTTTACCTTAGTTACGATCTTAGGATCCGTATCCCACATGTCCCTGAGAGAAGGGCACTTGGTCATGCATACAGATTACAGGGCAGCCATTGGTTGTCTACAGCACAACATACTCAATGACATCTACCTCCTGACCACTGTGCTTACCATAAGCGCAGAGGATTCTTGTTCAGGGTAGAAGAATCATCGTAAACTGGGTTCATAGCCACAAGGCATTAGAGGGAATGACCATGCTGACAAATTAGCTGACGTTGACAGGATATGCCATATGGCCTCTTCGGCAACGCCAATCCAACTCTTAACGTTAAAGAACAGAGCTCAGCCAGGCTGGGGAAGGTGATGACGTCACTACTCGTCCTAGATGCTGATAGGATAATGGTACCACTGTCAATCGTAAGATGTAATCTGGAAAACTAATACATCCTCACTTCACACAGACCACCAAGGGGACAACGTAAACGAATCATTTAGTCGGAATAATAATTTCACACAAAAAAAGTTTTAAAATCACACTGACAAATTAATATGTATATTATGTATGCAAGAGAGTGTGCACACTCATCCACTCACGCACGCATTCACGCCCTCACTCACTCACGCACGTGTATATATTATATATATCTTATATGTATCATATATACTATATATGTTATATATAAATGTAAATATATTAAATATATATACGTATTATATGTATTTCATATGAATATATCATATATAAATATATCATATATATATATATATATATATATATATATATATACATATATATTCTATATGTATCATTTATGTATATATTATATATATTTCATATGTATACTATTTTATTAATCATTTCATTAATTACACACAAATGCACACACGCACACCCACACCCACATATACATACAAACCTATATATGCATATGTGCATATATATATATATACATATATATATATATATATATATATATATATATAGGTTCATGGGCTTAGATTAATGATGGTAATTAGGGATGGTCTCCCTACTATTAACGTGAAGGTGATTACCATACTCTTCATTTAAGCAATTCCAGTTCATAAAGAAAAAAACGAGATATCAAAATGGACTGTTATGAAATTACAGTTTAAGTGCCAGTAATAGTTACGTAATCTATATATTCGATCTGAACTGTTCTGCATTAGAGGTGCATTCGCGCAACGTTGCACACTTCCAAACTTATTTTCCTTTAATTATCTTTATATCTTGATTATTTTTAGTGTTAAACAGGAATCAGTGTAAAGAACCCCTATCTCAAATCAATTTACGTTATTTTTATTAATTTTATCAATAACATTCATTCTAATCAATTCTTTGCCGTGTCGTATGGCAAATTATAGAAACAATTGACTTTACAGATAGGTGTTCCAAGCAATGCGGCGAGCCAAACGCCATCATGTTATATTATTTACAGAGTTGTGAGTACACACAATTTTTGAGAGGGACCACCCACCACAGCCGCCAGGCTGGCAAAGAGATTATGTCACATGCTTACATCGTGGCAACAGGAGCGCCTACTGGCAACCCAGCCACCACGGTAAGCATTCAGTGACATTGAAACAATTGAAACAGCCATAAATAACTGATACAGGCCGGGACATATATATGGAATGCCCGGGCGAAGCTAGATCTTCGCAAATCTCAATTGTATTGTGTTGGCCCTAAATCCGAGAGGTCGATGATTAGCGCCCCACCCAGGCGCGAGAAGTTGCAATCGTCGCCTAGAGGCACTGCTGTAGCTGGGCACTACGGCGGGTAAGGACTAAGCTCAGTCGAATCTGCACCAGCTGGCACACGTGAGCGAGTCGGCATTAGTCGACACAGGCCGGATCCCCTCATGGGTGTAGCCTGGGCGAGGCTCAGCTTCGCATATCGGACTTACCTTTACCTTAGTTACGATCATAGGATCCGTATCCCACATGTCCCTGAGAGAAGGGCACTTGGTCATGCATACAGATTACAGGGCAGCCATTGGTTGTCTACAGCACAACATACTCAATGACATCTACCTCCTGACCACTGTGCTTACCATAAGCGCAGAGGATTCTTGTTCAGGGTAGAAGAATCATCGTAAACTGGGTTCATAGCCACAAGGCATTAGAGGGAATGACCATGCTGACAAATTAGCTGACGTTGACAGGATATGCCATATGGCCTCTTCGGCAACGCCAATCCAACTCTTAACGTTAAAGAACAGAGCTCAGCCAGGCTGGGGGAGGTGATGACGTCACTACTCGTCCTAGATGCTGATAGGATAATGGTACCATTGTCAATCGTAAGATGTAATCTGGAAAACTAATGCATCCTCACTTCACACAGACCACCAAGGGGACAACGTAAACGAATCATTTAGTCGGAATAATAATTTCACACAAAAAAGTTTTAAAATCACACTGACAAATTAATATGTATATTATGTATGCACGAGAGAGAGTGTGCACACTCATTCACTCACGCACGCATTCACGCACTCACGCACGTGTATATATTATATATATCTTATATGTATCATATATACTATATATGTTATATATAAATGTAAATATATTAAATATATATACGTATTATATGTATTTCATATGAATATATCATATATAAATATATCATATATATATATATATATATATATATATATATATATACATATATATTCTATATGTATCATTTATGTATATATTATATATATTTCATATGTATACTATTTTATTAATCATTTCATTAATTACACACAAATGCACACACGCACACCCACACCCACATATACATACAAACCTATATATGCATATGTGCATATATATATATATACATATATATATATATATATATATATATATATAGGTTCATGGGCTTAGATTAATGATGGTAATTAGGGATGGTCTCCCTACTAATAACGTGAAGGTGATTACCATACTCTTCATTTAAGCAATTCCAGTTCAAAGAAAAAAACGAGATATCAAAATGGACTGTTATGAAATTACAGTTTAGGTGCCAGTAATAGTTACGTGATCTATATACTCGATCTGAATTATTAACTGTTCTAAAATGGAGGTACATTCGCGCAGCGTTGCACACTTCCAAACTTATTTTCCTTTAATTACCTTTATATCTTGATTATTTTTAGTGCTAAACAGGAATCAGTGTAAAGAACCCCTATCTCAAATCAATTTACGTTATTTTTATTAATCTTATCAATAAAATTCATTCTAATCAATTCTTTGCCGTGTCGTATGGCAAATTATAGAAACAATTGACTTTACAGATAGGTGTTGCAAGCAATGCGGCGAGCCAAACGCCATCACGTTATATTATTTACAGAGTTGTGAGTACACACAATTTTTGAGAGGTACCACCCGCCACAGCCGCCAGGCTGGCAACTAGATTATGTCACATGCTTACATCGTGGCGACAGGAGCGCCTACTGGCAACCCAACCACCACGGTAAGCATTCAGTGACATTGAAACAATTGAAACAGCCATAAATAACTGATACAGGCCGGGCCATATATATGGAATGCCCTGGCGAAGCTAAACTCCGCAAATCTCACTCACTTATTCAGTCGTGAAGCCTTAGTTGTCCTTGTCAAGTGCGCAATGTGTTGATCGCGTGTGCACACTGGACAGGGGACATTTCGATACGTCAACATGGCCACACGTTGTTTTCCCGTTTTTTCTTTATATATATATATATATATATATATATATATATATATATATATATACATATATATACATATATATGTGTGTGTGTGTGTATATACATATATATTTATCTGTTTTGCCATTCACTATTACTCAATTCATATGTCGCACCCAGACATACTCACCCTCAAACACCCACAGCCGCCCGTACAATACACCTCCACTTCTCATATGTACGCACTCATCTCACCAGCCATGTCATATATGCTACAACCAATTTAAAAATAAGTTCTTTATCATTCAATCATCCACCTCCTTTCATCATACTTGAATTACATGTTAGCAATTACATTTCATTTATTCAAAACAAAAGATAAACAAGATAAGTATAAGTACATCATTTACAGGATAGTGATTCTCATACTGAAGATAAAATCCGTGGATGTAATGAAGCCATTTCCTAAAGTAATTATTCTTTAGAATAATTTGGCAAAGGATTGTAATATATAGATAAATAAATGAATACATTAAAATAATCAAAGTACTTTTTAAAAGCAGAGAGTGAAAGGTAAATTGAAAGAAAGAAAAGAAAATCAATAAAATAACAAGGTTAAATAATAATAATAATAATATAATGCTTGGCAAACAATCTATATTGAAAGCGGATATGAAGGCAACGATGAAATTGTAATACGGTAGTTACACGCCTTTCTACCAAGCTATAAGAAAAAAAAATATATATTCTTCGTTTATTTTTATATCGTATTCAGCAAAACACGTCTTACAATCAGGTAAATGTTGATAGTATTGATTGGTCGATTATTTAAAGTGTCTGCCGCGCCGGAAACATGATTATGAACATGTATAAGTAAACAAAAAGCTAGGCAAAGCATTTTAACAAATCATTTGACGGTCATACAAGTTAGCTACAAGCGATGACTATGTTGTGTTTGGACAGGTTAAACTGAAGGTTACGAGAGAAAGTTTTCATATATAAAGGGTTCGGTTCCTCGCTCTTGCATACACATCCACTATGAATTTCATCGTATGTGTTGTCTCATCGAGTTTAAGTTTTCACGTCCTATGTCAGTATACACAAACACACACACACACATATATATATATACATAAATATATACATAAATATTTAAACTCACACACATGCATATATATATATATATATATATATATATATATATATATATATATATATATATATATATATATATATATATATATATATATTTATATATATGCATATATATATATATTTATATATATGCATATATATATATTTATATATATGCATATATATATATATATATATATATATATATATATATATATATATATACATATATATATTTATATATATGCATATATATATATATATATATATATATATATATGTACACACACATGCATATATACATACAGAGTTATAGACACACACATACACACACACACACACATATATATATATATATATAAATTTATTTATTCACACATGCATATATATATATATGTGTATATATGTATGTATATATATATATATATATATATATATATATATATATATGCACATGTGTGCATACCTATATGTACATATAAATGCATATATATATATATATATATATAATATATATATATATATATATATATATATATATGTGTATGTGTGTATGTGTGTGTGTGTGCATGTGTGTGTAAATATAATTACATATAAATGTATGTGTGTGAGTGTTATATATGAAAAGGAATATATAACCATTTCCTTCACGTTTCAAAGTAAGTTTCATTTACATTTAATGAAATATATATATATATTTTTTTTTCCAAACAGGCACTTCTGTTATCATCTGTAGTCGCTGCTTTTGCGGCACCTCAAGGATACAACGTCGGTACTCCCTCTGGTGCAGGCCTTACATCCGGTCCCGGATCTACTGATGGTGGTGCAGGAGCGGCCGAGGGAGGCCTCGTCAATGGAGGAGGTGCAGCGACTGGATGCCAAGAAGGAGAAGTCCTTCACGTGGATGGGACATGTGTAACTCCTGAAGTTACAAGAAAGATCTACGTATTTAATGTCCCAGAACAAGAGAGACCCGTTGGTCCCGCACCTAGTATTCCTCCTCCAGCAGTTGACCACAACATCTTGTTCGTGCGCCTTCCCGAGGAAGCACCTGCACCTGACCCCATCGTACTTCCTCCACCAAGGCAGAACAACATTGTGTACGTACTAAACAAGCAAGAAGAACAAGCTCAACGAGTGATCGAAGTACCAGCTCAGCCACAAGCTGATCCCGAGATATATTTCGTTAACTACCAAGATGGCGAGAATCCAACCCTTCCCTTGGGAGTAGACCTTGAAACTGCTCTTAGCGCCGCTGCGACAGCCGGTGGTCAGGTTGTAGGAAGCATCGATGGAGCCGGTGGAGAAACTGGAGATGATGGAACAGCCGGATTTGGTGTAGGTGAATTAGATGGCGCAGGTGGAATTACTGGAGAACATGGAAGTAATGGTGTTGGGGGTGTAAATGGACTTGGTGGTGTTAATGGAGCCAGTGTTAATGGCGGAGCGGGAGGGTTCCAAATCGGCTCAGGGGTTAGTCCTGTAGGTCTTTACACCACTCCCTAGGGAAAACGTTTCCTTTATCATATTTTATCTCTTTATTTATTTATTTTTTCGTTAACCTTATAAATTACTGTTTTTTGACTCGCCGAAATATAATGAACCATGTACAAGTAACCTGTTTTGTTTTTTTTCGATAACATGAATTACTGTTTTGTTCTCCCCGAAATATATCGGAACATAGACGAACACAGTGTTTCATTTTTTAATTGGAGGTCCTATAGGTAGGCATAACACGAGGATACGCGTTCGTAAAGCTATGTATGTGTATACATAAATACATTTATACATAAACAGACAAACCTTAACATATGGCTATAACTGGTTGGGCAGTGATAATGGTATAACGGCCTGATTCTTTAATAAGTACTAAACAGTGAAGGAAGCACACGAGAGGTTGTCTTAGGGTAAGCACTGAGCGCGGAGTCGTGTATCCGGCCAGCCAGCCCTGAGGGCTGGTGGTAACCTGCTCACGACGACTGCTGGGAGCGAACTGAGAGGGTCATCTAAGTCCTCGCTGGTGTGATGGTTCTAAATTGCCTTGGGGCCACATGGTAAACAGCTATGTGGTCTGTTGGTCTAATGGCTTACAGATATGCTATACATATACACAATAAAAACACCATAATTATCAACATTCAATTGTAAAGAAGTGCCTAAATATCTTGCATATACCTTGTCTTCATGAGACAATGTGTGGACATTATCGCCGGGTTTCAACCGTCTTGCTACTAACGACAGTGTACCAAGATTTGTTCTCTCTTACTTTACATACCCCCTTCCTCCGGCTTTCTTTTTCGGTGCTACGAAATACGATATGTTAGCTCTGTATAAAGACGTTGGTGTTGTGAAGTACTCGAGTATCTGATAGAGGAAGGTCCTGTCATCGATATGCTATCCATTTTATATTAATATTAATAATAATGATAATAGCAAATCTTATTAGGTTAGGTTATATTGAGTTTTTTGTGGTTTGAAGTCAGAGGTGCAGGATTTCACAGGCAGCCCTAAGGCCCCTTTCAGACGTATCGACTTTACGCCATCCGCCGTCTAGACCCAGCGCCGTGCATTCCAGAGAGAGCGCCGTGGTGTCGACGGCGGGCGCCGTTGACACAAACGGCACGGCCTGTGCCGTCCACCTGCCAGTTGCTTCCATTCTTTCATCATGGACACACAGGACCACCTGCTCTAACCTATATTACTTATATTTAAAAAGAAAAAAACAACGTTCACAAGGCAGAAAGTGGGTCCATAATATCAATGTTGCCAGACCCAGTGGTAGGAGCTTTTGTCACACTGTATGAGGAACTCAGAAAGGATACAAAAAAGTTTTTCAACTACTTCAGAATGAGCAAAGAATCATTCGATGAGCTCCTCAACAGGTTGAGTCCTCTACTTTGCCATCAAAATTCCAGGATGAGAGACGCCATTTCACCAACAGAAAGACTTGCTGTTACATTAAGGTAAGAAATATATCAGTCTTATTTTAGTATTTATTTTGTAATACAGAGAACATAAACAATGCAAAATAAGAAGTAGCCTACATGTTTATTTTTCCTATTATTTCATTTGGTATGTAGAAAGCACCCTAATTACAAAAAATGTAAAATATACGAAATAACTTTCCTGAAATCAATTATGATGTTTACATAAACTCAATTTTATGTATGCCATACATCCAATGGGTACTACTTATCTAGAGCAAAATCCAAATCAGAAAATTGTGAATGCTCACCACTATAAGCAGAGGTGCTTGACTGTACTGAAAGTGGTGAATGAAGAGGTGTAGAATAGGGGAGTTGGAAGGCACAGTGAATACCAGGCTGAGTAGCAGGGGAACTATTTCCCACATTAGGTGGATGTGCGGGTGAGTAACGCCAGTGTGGTGTGTGTGTGTTTCACATGATCAGGATAATAAGAATGCATATGTGGAGATGGTTGAATGTCATGCTCACTCGGAACAGGCATAACGGACCCTTGGGGTTTTGTCGAGATCGGTGAATACTCTGAATAATTTTTATTACTCCACTTTGGAATTCTAATGTCTCAGTGTCATCAAACTCTGCAGTGCGGGAAAATACCTTAAAAAAACTAACTGATGATCCTATGCTCCTTAGTTTTTTAAAAATATACTTTTCTATATCTGTCGCAAGCGTCTTCCTTCGTTTTCCTTTCCCTGAGTTGATGTTGAGGGTTGAGGGTCGGAGCGTGTGGGTATGTCGCGGCTTATCTCTTCCATGACTCTTCTCTTCTACAGCACTTGAAACTGTCTCCTTCCTCTTGGTATTCTTCTGCAGGAATGACATGTTGTCACTATATATGTATTTTCTAATTGATTTGCTTTGGATCCTGTTTTTTTTTTTTCATCTTCAAGCTTCTTTAGATATTTGATGTACCGGTCGCTGATGTTAGTCCATTTTGTACTTATCATCTTGCCTAGAAAAAAAAAAAAAAAACAGTAAACTTAATAGTGACCATGCTTAATCAAAATTCTATCTATTTTTTTCCTGTTGTTGGTTCAGTGTTTTACACAGTAATATTGTATAGGGCAGTAGATGGCAAACACATCAGGATCATTAAGCCATGTGACAGCGGGTCTTTGTTTTGGAACTACAAGGACTTTTACTCAATGGTATTGCTGCCGTGGCTGATAGTGAGTATAATGTTGTGTTCTTGACATTGGTGCTTATGGGAAAGCGGTGATTCATCATTGTTTAAGGAGACACAGCTTTGGAGAGACATGCTAACAATGATCTCCCTATCCCCAAGCCAAAGCCCTTGTCTGAGTCTGTACCAGGTTGCACTCCATATGTGTTTGTTGGAGACGAAGGATTTGGTATTCACATGAATCTTATGTGCGACCTTACTCAGGGAAAATTATGGATCAGCAAAAAAGAGCTTTCAACTAACCGGTGTGAGTAAGCAGGATGGTACGTAGAAGCTCATATATTTGGGATATTGCCTGACTAAATGGGAGTATTCCATAGCCACTCAATGTGTCAGTGTGGAACTGAGTATTAAAATTGTACAGATGTTGTGTACTGCCTATTTTTGGGAGAGAGCGAGATGGTTACAACTCGAAGACACACTCACAATCGAAGGATTTAATGCCGTTCCATACATGGAGGGTGAACGCGGAAACAAATCTTGGTAATGATATCCGCAAAGCTTTTGCTGAGTACTTATGACACAAGAAGGGTCAGTTGCGTGGCAGTGGAAAATGTAAAGAAGACAATGATGTATTGGAGTAACCTGTTAGCCTGTACATTTCCAACACTTAGCTGATTATGACTGTAATATCTAGTAGAACTTATTGTATACCTAGCATGTATCGCATGTATGTCTTCATACTTACGTAGCAGTATAACTAATATTTTCATTATATATGAAATCACCAACCATATGAAATTTTTTTTTAGTTTGCGCATCAAGAGTTTGGAATGAAAAACATGTATAAATAAATAATAAATTGTACATGATTTTGTTTTCTCTGTATTCAGTGAGATCGTTAGTGGGTGGACAAGCTTCCTACTGTACAACAGAATAATTGGGTGGTGAGGTAACACCACCTGAAAAAAATTCACGCACACACACACACACACACACACACACACATCTACGAATGGAAGCACAAAGGAATCATAACAACATAGAACACATTAACACAAACAAACATTATCTTGATCAACACAAGACTACGTGCACACTAGAACTTAATTATGAAAAGTTCATGTACTCACCATATTTTGTCTTGCATCGTCCTCATAGACTCAAAAGAAGCCCGGTTTCAGGTGATTGCAGACTTCCCTCCATGCTGCAGTGGTTTCAGTCTTGGACTTATATGCTTCAAGGCTTTTGTCCCAGAGAACAGGCCTCTCTTCAACCAGGCTAATCAACGTCTACATAACGTCTCCATTATCAATGGTGAGCAATACTATAAAACACGTCTGGGTCAGGAAACGACTTGAGGTGGTGTGACACGCTACTCGCGCGTACACTTCAGAGGCGGAACGTCGACACGTTTGAACAAGCCCATAGAGACTGTTGTACATTTCACGCAACGCAACGCAGTGCCGTTTTTGTCAAATGAGCGCCGTTGTGACAACGGCGCCGTCCACGGCGCCAAAGTCGTTTACGGACACGTCGGCCGATCCGATACGTGGTGAAAAGGCGTCCATTAGCACATCCATGTTATTTGAGAGAACGACGTACGTGCCATGGACGGCGTACGGCCGTAAAGTCGATACGTCTGAAAGGGGTCCTAAACAGATGGCAGCTTGCATGTCAAAATTGGAGTCCTGTCCCTCTGCATGGTGGGGAGGGAGCCTTTAATTATTTCTCCCTTTTCCTTTCATTATTTGTCTTAGTTCTTGTAATATTCCCCTAGCATCTTATCATCCCAATTTTTGGCTAGATTATTCGCTTCTATTTTATCCCCCATTTTTTTCTTTTATTATATATATTTTTTCACTAGTTCACGCATCTTTCATATTGCGTATTTCTCTATCATTTTTCTAGCAGAATGTCATAATACTTTCCTTCCACGATAATTATTCATAAATCGATGTCCGACTTGAACTTCTCATATATATATATATATATATATATATATATATATATATATATATATATATATATTTATACCTATTTTCTTTCACGTTTCAAATTTACTAAAATTCATTTTGTTAGTAATATAAACCTATATAAACAGAAAAAAAAACGTAGGACCATAATCATCTGGACGTATAACCAAAATAAAAATGGTTGGATATATTACATGTTCACATATTTAAGGTAGCTAGATCTGGTTGAGACTTTATTTGTGGAAGCACCCCAAAAAATGTTTGGAAACAGTCTTATGGTGTGGTAGTGCACGGCTTAACTGGGCAGCCCATGGAGTTCTTACTGTTTACAAGTAAATTTCAGGAAAAAAATATATATATAGGTATATATAAATTTGTTACAAGACAGTGGCTATTTCCAGAAGTAAATATTCTTTGGAGTAA